GAAGAAGAAGAAGAAGAAGAAGAAGAAGAAGACTCGAGACAGGCTTTAGAGAAATGTATTCATATTCGACATACAGATCCAATTCCTCGCCGAACCCTTTCATCGCATGTTCTTCCTCGATAACCTCGCCATTGGATATCCCCACGCAGAAATCGAGCGCGTATCAGTCGGTTGGCTACTCATCTTCTCCGCCGCCGTTCCCCTCGGCCTCCTCGTCGCCTGGGCCCTTCTTTTCCGCCCGGGCTCCCACAAAGCCCACGTCACCATCCTCGGTCTAATCATCAGCCTCATCCTCACCAGCTTCATCACCGACGTAATCAAGAACGCCGTCGGCCGCCCCCGCCCCGACCTCATCGCCCGCTGCAAACCCGCGCCTGGCACCCCCGCCCACCAACTCGTCACGTACAAAGTCTGCACCGAAACAGACCACCATACTCTTCACGACGGCTGGCGCAGTTTCCCAAGCGGCCATAGTAGCTTCGCCTTCAGCGGCCTCGGCTACCTCTCCCTCTTCCTCGCAGGCCAATGCCACGTCTACCGTCCCCGCGCAGACCTCGCTCGCGTCCTCCTCGCTCTTGCGCCCCTCCTCGGCGCAGCCCTCATCGCCATCTCCCGCTGCGAAGACTACAGACACGACGTTTACGACGTCACCGTTGGGTCTCTGCTTGGTCTCGCCATAGCGCATTATACCTACAGGAGATATTACCCTGCCCTCAGGAATCGGCTCTGTGCTACCCCGTTTCCGAACCCGGCGGATGAGAAGGGCTGGGGGAAGGTTAAGGGGGATGAGGAGAGTGCGAGGGGGGTTCAGGAGTTTGAGCTTAGTGAGTTTGATGAGGAGGGGGATGGAGATAGTGAGGCGCGGTTGCTTAATGGGGGGAGGAGATAGGTAATGGGGTTTATTTTGGGCGGTCTATGTTTTTCTAACGCTGGAGTAATGGGTGGGTTTGGTTCGGAGTGTCTTGTTTTTTTTTCCTTTTCTTAGCAACTTGGGTTGCTGGGGGATAGGGATTAGGGTGTGTAGACGGGGTTTTAATGTACCTGGCTGCTACGTGGCATGTTTACTGCATATGGATAATGAAGATATTCTTTATGGTATTTGTAGTTTTCGGTCTGTTGACCTCTTGGGGATTGTTCAACGTACTATAAAGTGTGTTTACTATCAGTCGTTTTCGACATGTGTCGTTTGGACTTGGTCATAGTACCAACTTGCTTCAGCCTTTCTTCACTTATCCTTCCTAACACCCAATCGTATTCATTGCACTTATACTGTTTATCGAGTTTATATCGTGATTTTCATAACCGCAACGTCTTTTCGCTGCTTGGTGCTTATTGGGGAAATGCCGGTAGAAAGAGAGAGAGAGCGAGAGCGTGAGTTTCTTTGTATGTAATACATGCAATCGATTCTTGGGTAGCAGCTCATACATCTTTGTCCTCGACTTTCTCTCTCTCGGTATGGAACTCTGATCACAGAGCGAGAATAGAGCAGAGTTCTCTTTTCTTGAAGAAAGGGGGGTACTTTAGCTTGGGGAGAGAAAAAAAGAAATTCAGGCGTTGTCTCTCTCTCCCATAAAACTTTTTTTTGAATGTTGGTAGATTGGATTGCGGGCCTTGTTGTGTGATGTATGGGAGGTACGCGTCGCGCAGATTAGCAAAGTTGACCTACAAAGGGGTTTTCTTTTAGACTGTGAGACTGGTATATTGGGGTTACTGGAGTGGGAAAGTGCTATTTGGAATGGTTTGAGATGTGCGGTCTTGCAAGTACTGGGGTTGGGGATCTTGGAGCATTTTATCTGTTTTGGGTATGGGAATGGTTAGGGGTGCGAGATTGGCGCTATCAAGTATCAATGACGACTGTGGATCGAGGCAGCAAGATAGATTGGTCTTGTATTGTTATGGAGACATTGTGATGGGCCTAGTTGCGTTTGCTTTCTTCTATGATGCTTAGTGTCACACTAGGTCGTGTGAATTGTTTTGATTCGGTCTCATTTGCGGTGTAAGGTGTAAGAGTGTCAGGAACCGACTGAGATTAGGCTGTTGGGCTACGCTCCGTTCTCTCTCCCTTGCTTTGGAGCTCTGACATATTTTTGGCGGGATGTATGTCAGTTTGGCTTGTAACTCTCAATATTGCTGTCATGTAGCTGTCGCTGAAACGAAGGGATTTCACATTGGAGGATAAGTCGGTACACCATATTTTATTACCAACTACGATGCTATTGTCTACTTTGCTTCTTATTCTAGCTCATGTCACCAAATCAATCCTACTTCGGTCCCTCGGTCCCCCCGGCCCTCTCTACCATGTACTGTAGTTCTCGCTGTTCTGTGCAGGCCATCTAGCCTACTCTATTCCGTCCTTGCATAAACAGATGCCCTCCAGGTACCTCCACAGATCTGACCATTGTCACCTTGGCATTTGCGATCGCATTGATCTCCAGAGACCAACTTATGGTTGTTCATGATACCAGTGCCACAATAACAGTATCTGTTGTACTCGAGACCAAAGAAAGTAGAGTTCTCACAGATGGCGGCGCACATCTGAGGCGTCATCCTAACATCGATTGTCTCTTTCCCGGAAATAACTCGGTTGGCACTGTCGGTGTAGCAGCCCAGGTAGCGATAATTCTTCTTCTTGTAGTTGGATAACCTTGTGTTGAGTGCATCTTCTTTGGCCTTACAAGAACTGTTGGCAGCATTGAGGTCGATGGTCGACTTTTGCTTGCATTGAGTGATCTCTATATCCTTGCTGCTCAAATGTACCTTGCAAGCACTGTTTGCAGCATTTACGTCGTCGGTCGACTGTCGCTTGCATTGAGAGATCTCCACATCCTTGTTGCTCAACTCCAGTTTGCAGTTCTGATCTTGTTGCAAGGCATCCAGTTCCGCCTTTTGACGGTCGGCTAGGGATGTTGCCTCGCACTCTGTGTGCTTCTCTTGAACCTCGGTAACTTGGGCGGTGAGTGATTTTTCGCGATCGAGACATTCGCCCTTTTCAGCCTGGCAAGTGTCGGGAAAGGGGCTGGAATTTCTGGAGGTATGGGCAGAGAGTGGCTCATTGTACGTGACACCGTTGGAGCAGGAGCAGGCGCATGTGGGTACGTTCGATGGATCAGTACACGTAGCTGCAGGTGTTGCACCTAGATTTTTTGTAAGATTCGCGAAACGTTGAGCCTTGAGTCTGCTTACCGTTCTGGCACTGGTACGAGGTCCCGAGCACTTGTTGGGTGTCGAGGGAGCAAACACCTGCAGAAAGGGCCGAAACGAGAAATACCAAAGAAGTCCTCATGGTATCTGTATAGATAATGAATTCAAGAACAAGAGGATGAACTGTGAAGTGATGGATGTGGGAACAGGAAGATGTAGTGTGAAGTGATGGGGTAAGTACAATGAGCTTCACAGACATGCTTTATATATTGTTCATTCCTAAAGATCTGGCACCTTGCTATTGACTAACTTACGCTTGGTTTTTTTGATCCAGAATATGGTGCCTTGCTCTGTTCGAGCGCATTGCCTGGCTATCTAGAGTTCATGCTCGCAGCACAGCACCACCTGCGTATGATCTCTTACAGGTGCATGTACCGCTAAAAAAGAAGTCTAAACCTTTGTTTATTTGTGTTTGTGTCTTGTCGATCCGGATATATACGGGATATTTGCGGGGTTCCGGCGCTAGTCGAGTCGAGTCTTACTGCTTTTTCAAAACGTTGATCCTATTCTATGCCTGTTTTTGCCAATGGGCGGAATGGTTGCTTATGACCTCGACGTTGCGTACTGAGTACTTATACTTTTTACAAAAATGACTGCTTGTGACCAAATCCTTCGCGTTCGGGCCAATGCAAATCACTTGGCTGCTCTGATAACAAACCGGAACATTCGGAACTATTTGCCAGCCAACGAAGTGACCGCTGAGTAGATATGTAGATATTTCCTGGACATATCTTCTGTCCATATTGTCAAGAGCCTCTGTCTTAACTGAAGGGCATGCAGCCATGAACATCTGTCTATTCACATCGGTGTGTGTTGCTTGGCTTGTGGGATTCAGTCGGTGTAACATTGACTACTTGCGTAGCTCACTGTTCTTTTTCCACCACCAAGAGTACAGGGACGCAAGTGACTTGAGCGATTTCCGCAAGGTATATAGATTAGAACTTCTCCTTGAAATAAACTCTGCAAACTCATTCTATATCGACTATCATATCTATCTTCCATCCCAAGAAACCGACAACATGCGTGCTTCCATAGCTATCATTGCCACCATCACCGGCCAAATTGTCCATGCACAGTTTGGAATGGACATGTTCCCTGGTAGCATGGTTTCTGGCAGCATGGTGACATGCCAGAGCGGTGCGTTTTCACTATCAGATGAGCGAGTTTCTTCACTAACACATGATCTCAGGTCATGTACCTACTCTAACTTGTGAAGATCCGGTTCCAGAGGCCTGCTCTTGCACTTGTAGTGACGGAATGACATTCAACCAGTCCCGTCCTCCCGTCGTCGACCCCGCGCCTCCACCTGCGCCTCCACCAGTTGAACCACCAGTACAACTTGATGATAAGCCATGCACTACAGAAATCATTGAAAGCTGGCAACGCTTGGAGCTACGTCACGAAAAGAATTCATACGAACCCTCAGAGATGAAGACAAAAGATATCAATTATCCAGAGGACACTATCTTAGTGGTAGCTGATGCGAAGAAAAGGTGCCAACACTATGAGGTAACTATCGATGGAGAAGTGATTGGAACGACGTACGGAACAGGTCCCCTTGACAACTTCGATTGCGGATCTGTGGATAATTGTATCAACAACCACGGGGGTAGTGTTGGTTATTTCACGCTTCCCAAAGGTAAACCAAAATCTGATCATCGTGGTATCCCAAGACTGAATCGTGGAAAATGGGCTAACGCAAGCTGTAGGACCCCATGTTCTTGGTATGAGGTGGGTCGGGATTACAGAGCGATGCAAACACATCGACATGGCCCTTGGCTATTTCCAGATCTACAAACCATGCTGATCGATATTACCTGGATGACAAATGTTTTACTAGAGTGGCTTGGTTGTTTGGTAGACAAATCCCCAGGGCTGGTCGGCAGTATAGGCGGCGTGGCAGACGTGGGTTGTACACATGTAGCCGGTTCATTCATTTATAGCCTGAAACCGAGTTCTTCCGTGACCCTCTGCTTTCAAACCCGATATATTAATGCATGTAATATTGCTGAGCAGGCATTGGGGTCACGTCAATGTACCGAAACACATTGCCACCTTTGATAGAGTAAACCTTACATTTTTGCCTTTGGTACCGTTTGAACGGACATATCAGTACTTGACTGCACAGTCAACTACAAGACAAAAAACTATCTAAGAAAAAAAACCCCATTTCTATAACACTAATACACGGTAGCATCACCGTACCCGATAGACAGGAAAAAAAGGGTCTCTGCAGCGGTGTACACGTCGTCAATAGCTACATAGCCCAAGACGAACAAGCACATATGAGGTAGTACCAAAAATCAACTTCACGCCGACCACCCCAGCCACGCTAGCCCAATTGCAGGTCCAGAATGGGGATCGTTCTCACTCGCTACGGGCCGGTCCCGTTGTTTCACTTGCAATATTTTCTTTACAATCCCACCACCGGTCATCGATCCAGCACATGGTCCATTGGACCCGCTCCAGTGCAACAAACCATCAGAACAAAACAGCATCGGTGGTTTAGTGGTAAAATTAGCCGTTGCCATCTTTCAATTCCATCGCATCTTGCAGTGGATGAAAAGGTCAACTTCGGCTAGCCCCGGGTTCGGTAAGATTTTCCCAGCAATAATACACCGTTCAATTCGGACATTCAACTAACAAACGAGTAGATTCCCGGCCGATGCATTACACTTTCTTTTCTTTTTTGCTTTTGGGTGTGAGGAGGGGAAGAGCGGGAATTTTTTCTTTGCACGGGCGAGAGACCCACATTGATGCTTGATCTGTGCGCACGTTGTAACGCCTCTGCCGTGCGTTGTAGATACGCGAGGTTAGCGTGGGGGTTGTTTTTGCTTCAAGGGACGCATCTTTCGCGGTATGGCTTGGGGCGCTTGTAGTCGGTTCGGGACAAGAGACAATTGTGATGAACACTTCCGGTATTTTGGTCTTGTGCTACATGCATTGTTACTGAGATGTAGCACCTATCCCACAAATTAATTTTGTGAGACACTATAAGGTGGAGCGTTTCCAAGTTCGTCGAGGTAGCTTGAGTGGCTGATACATTTGCAGGCATAAATTATTTTCTTTCAATATTATTTTCTTAAAGACCAAGAAGACATGCACAGCAACGGTAAAATAGCAACATCGAATCAGCATGCGAATTGCTCAGCCCATCATTCCTGGTCTTGTTCTTCATCCTGGTCTTGTTCCTCTTTGGCATCATCCTTTCTCTCCTCATCTTCTGGAGGCATAGAGACTGGGAACGAAAGGTGTTTCCAATCCTCAATCTACAACGTGTCAGTGAGTTCATGAGACGGTGAGGCATTTACATACCTCTTCGGTAATACTCTTCATACGGTCTCGGATACTTTCCACAGCATAACTACCCAGGACCAAGCGCAGCGGAGGGTAGCTACAATGACCCAGTTGCCACATGAGTTCAGCGCTTTTCACGGCACTCACCGGCTGCCGGTCATTTAGCCACTGTACCATCCGCCGCGCGTGCTGTGCAGGACTAGTCAAACTGGAATATGGCTCGCTTGGATCTGGTTTTACGGAAAAGTGACCGTACCGCTTCGGTTTGGGAGGCCCTGCTCCTGAGGTAGGAGCAGAGGTATAGCTAGGGGCCATTACATTGTCGTCGGGCTCATCCAGCCGAACATGGCCGGGTTCAACTAGGGTCGCTTTGATATTGAAAATGTCGACTTCGTATAGCATGGACTCGATGAGACCCTCAACAGCATACTTTGTCGCGCAATACGGGCCAAGTCCGGGTACGCCGAGAGATCCAGCCGTAGAGGAAAATATGAGGTAGCGCCCAGAGTTTTGGGCGCGAAAATAGGGGAGTGACAGCTGGATGATATGCAGAGTACCGAGGAAGTTGGTGGTGAATTGATTGCGCAGGTCGTAGTCGTCCTGGTCTTCGCAAGCTGCAATGACGCCGTAACCGGTGCTGTTCGCTATCACGTCCACGCGCCCCCAATAGTCGACGCTCTTTTTGATCACCCAATTCACCGTGTCCCGCACTCGGACGTCGCAAAGCAAACCCAAGCAGTTCTTATTCTGCCACTTGCCCATCTGCTCCAATGTGTTTTCTTGGGACCATCCGACTGCAGTGCATTGATCGCCGTGTGCTAGAATCGCTCGAACTAGGGATCGCCCTATGTGTCCGGTCGCTCCAAAGACCTGAGAACAGGCGTTAGCTACTCAGCGCGTGTCTAGTAGACAGAAGCGCGTCTTACAATCCATACTGCCCGTTTCGGAGGGTTGCTTTCAGATGGTGGGTCGCAGGTGGCAGGCAGCGTGAGGGTAGGATTTTGAATGGCTCCGCCTGGCGAGAGGCTTTGGCTCAGAGTGTCGAAGTCCATATGAACGTTGCGAATGTCCGTAACGAGATGCGATTCCAAGCTGTTTCGAGGCGGGGAGCTTAGTCGGCCAATCGGAGATGCAACTGCCGCTATCTCCGTGTTCTACAAGTGAAAGAGATGCCGAGGTGTATGAGGGACTCATAAGATACGCTGTGAGCAGAACACTCTTCCGCAACATATGCTAGTCCAAAATGGTTTCCAATGTAACTGCGTCCATCGATTAAGGCATGACGAACCTCCGTTCGTCTATTAGGAAGCGGAGAGCGTCAATGGCCAGTTGATTGGGAAACGCCTGTTGCCGGTTCATGAAGTTGCTCACGAGGATAAAGAACATGATGAAGATGTCGAGGTGCATGGGCGATGTGAGAAAGAAGTGGTACGCCAGGAAGAGGAAGGCCTGAGTTCGGTATCGGCTCTTGATTGAGCGAATTACTCTGGCCGCCTTGATGGCAGCAACACGGTTCGTGGGAGTACGAAAGGCGACGACCTTTGAGAGAATGGGCATCCTAGGCAAGGGCAGAGTATGGAGAGGGGTGGCCGGGTGTCTGAAGAGTCATGGGTTGCAGAGACGAGGTGTGGACAACAGGTAGAAAGGGAGGTCACGCTTATCGATAGTAGCTTCCAATTCCCTGCGCGCCATCATCCTTCCCTTCTGGTCGATGCACAATTACGTCTTGGCTCCTTCTGTAAACAACCATAAACCACATACACAACATGGAATTTTCAAGCAGGTAGTAGGAACACAGTCGCAAACATGGCCCAAGACGTTCCTACGCCAGTGCCGCTGCCCGTCACACAGGGCGGCGCCTCATCGTACAGTAACCTCTCGACTTGGTTGAACCCCCACTAACATGCTACAGACTCTCCTTCACCCAGGGCTTCCTGCTTGGCCAGCTTTCCATTGCACTGCTAATCTTCTGCTTCATCAAGTTCTTCATTTTTGGAGAGCCTCCCTCGGCCGATGAGCGCGCACTGCACCTCAATTCTCTGCGACGAGCTCGAACACTAGCTCATCAGCAATCGTATAAGCAGTTGCGGGCACGGGCAAATTCAACGTCACTTTCACTACGACACAAGCCGTCCCGGAGTATTATACGAAAGGGAGAGGAGAGCATGGGAGGGCCAAGCATAGCAACTATACTTGCAAAGACATATTATAATGTGAAAGGACACCAGCCGGAGAGCTTAGACTGGTTCAACGTGCTCATTGCGCAGACCATTGCCCAACTAAGAGCTGATGCGCGACAGGACGACGCGATCCTAACATCGCTCACAGATGTCCTGAATGCCGGCAGCAAACCTGACTGGATTGGCGACATCAGAGTGACCGAGATAGCGCTTGGTGACGAGTTTCCCATATTCAGCAACTGCAGAGTCATGCCTGCCGATGACGGCTTCTGGTATGGACCGGGGAACGCGGGGAATGAGAAAGAGAGACTCCAAGCCCGAATGGACGTGGATCTGAGCGATGTCATTACCATTGGCATAGAGACGACGTTGAATTTGAACTGGCCAAAACCAAGATCTGCTGTTCTGCCAGTTGCCCTAGCCGTCAGTATCGTGCGCTTCTCGGGAACACTAGTAGTGTCCTTTATACCATCATCGTCACCTGCGTCAACCCCCGCACCTGTCTCATCACCAAGACTAGGTACACACCAAAATGCCTCTCCGCGCCGTCCTTCATCGTCTTCCGGCGCGCCTCCACACCGTCCCACAACCCTCGCCTTTACATTCCTCGACGACTACCGGCTGGACCTCTCCGTGCGCTCCCTGGTCGGATCCCGATCACGCCTCCAAGACGTGCCCAAGATAGCGCAGCTCATCGAGTCGCGCGTGCACGCCTGGTTCGACGAGCGCGCCGTAGAACCGCGCTTCCAGCAAATTGTACTTCCCTCGCTCTGGCCCCGCAAACACAACACCAGAGGCGGAGCAGCCACGGCCGCCGGCACCGACACAGCACTCCAAGACAGTGACGACGAGGACGAAATCGCTGTCATGGAGGGGAACGGGACTGCTCCCCCTTCATCCTCGTACATCCCAAGCCCGATATCCGAAAACGTGACGCTGGAGGAACGTATCGAGGCCGAGGGCCAGAAGATGCGCGAAGCAGAGATCAGAGCTGGCGTCCGCAAACCAAGCTCGGCGGCTGATGCCAGAGAGCACCGCGCTGATGGCATGCGCTGGCGCGGCGAGCAGCCCCGAGGACGCCAGTCTGCGAGACCCAAATTGCAGAGTAGAACTACGACGGGGATTGCGGCAGGTATGCCCGGTGCTCTGCCTCGATGATTGTATGATGATATGATTAGACGCATGTTTTGAATGTAAGATTAGATATTTTTTTTCCCTCCAGTAGTCAATGCGGGGGGAGGCCATGTCACTGAGAAGAAAAAAAAGGAAGGGACTCCAAACTTTGGGCTTCGCTGCTTATTGTATTATATGCCTTGATTAATACACCTCC